AATATAAAGAGTGTAAAGGAAGGTGTAAAGCTATCATTAGTCTCAGGAGACACGATTATGTTTATAGAAAATCCAAAAAAATAAAATAAAACAAACTCACAATTAATAAGCAAATTTAACAAATGGCTGGATACAAAATCATTATATAAAAAATCCAACTACATTTTCATACATTAGCAACTAACAATTGGGGGGGGTGAAATTTAAATACTACTGCTTGCAATAGCGCCAAAACCTACCAGTTTCTTAGGAATGAATCTAATGAAAGGCGTACAAAACTTCTGAAAACTATAAAACACTGCTGAGAAAAATTAAAGATGATCTAAATACATGGAGGCCTAATGACACAAACATAGATTGGAAATTTGATTACAGATTCACTGCAACCCCAATGAAAACCCTAGAAGGCTGTGTGTGTGTGTGTGTGTCTGTGTGTCTGTGTGTCTGTGTGTGTGTGTGAAAACTGACGAGCTGATTCTAAAATCTATATGGAAATGTTAAGAATTTAGATTAAATAAAATAATCTTTAAAAAGAAGAGGAGGAACAAGGGGACTTACACCACCATATCTCCACAAGTTATTATAAAGGTGCAGTAATTAAGACTGTAGTATTGGTCCAATGACAGACAAACAGACCAATGACTCAGAATAAAGTTCCCAGATACAGGTCCACATGTCTATGGTCTCCTAATTTATGACAAAGGAGTCACTGGCATTCAGTGGGGGAAAGGATGATCTTTTCAACAAATGGTGCTCTCTCAGTTGAAAATTGACAAGAATAAAAACCTTCCCCTCACACCATACATAAAAATTCCAAATGGATTACTGATGTAAGAGTGAAAGGTAAAATAATAAAACTTGTAGAAGATAACATAAGAGAATATCTTCACGATCTTGAGGTAGGAAAAACTTCTTAAAGGGGTACAAAAAAAAAAAAAAAAAACCCACTAACTACAAAACAAAAATGTTGACAAATTGGCCTTAACTAAAATTAAGAACTTCTAATCATCAAAAGACATCATCAAGAGAATTGAAAGGCAAGCCACAGACTGAGAGAAGATATTTGCAATACTTATATCTGACAAACATCTTCTATCCAGAATACAAAAACAACTCTTAAAAATCATTAAGGAAAAGACAAGCAACACAATTAAAACACACACACACAAAGAGGCAAAAGACTCGAACAGGTAGTTCACAAAAGAGGATATCCAAATGCCCAAGAAGTATATTAGAAGATGCTACATATCACTAGTCTTTAGAGAAATGCAAATTAAAACCATAATGATATAGACTATACACCAGGAGAAAGACTGAAATGAAGAGGACCGACTATACAAAATACTGGCAAAGACGTGAAACAAGTGGAATTTTCATAAGCTGCTGGTTGGGAATATAAATTGGTACAATCACTTTGGAAAACTCTTTGGCAGTATCTACTGAAGCTAAATATACATATACCCCTATGATCTAGCAATTCCACTCCTGGGAATATAGCCAAGAGAAATGAGTGCTCATGTCCACCAAGAGATATATACAGAGATGCTTTATTCTTAATAGCCAAAAACTTCAAACACCCTAAATTTCCATCAATATTTGAATGGATAAGTAAACTGTGGTATATTTATACAGTGAAATAGCATACATCAATGAAAAAGAAAGAACTACTACCACCCACAATAACATGGATGAATCTCACAGATATCATGCTGAATGAAAATGAGCCAGACACAATCGAATACACACTCTATGATTCCATTTATATGAACTCTTGAAAACAGGCAAAACCAGTCTATAGTAATAAAAGTTGAGACAGTGGTTACGGACAGGGACGGGGACATGAGGGTGCCTTCTGGGGTGCTAGAAATGTTCTATATCTTCACCTAGCTGGTGGTTACACAAGTGAATATAATATGTTAAAAATAAAATTCATCAAACTATTCACTCAAGATTTGTGTGTTTTACGTTGATTTTGTCTCAATTCTATAAAATGAAACAAAACAATAATGATAGAATGACAATGCTGGGAGGGTTTCTGGAAGGAAGCTGTTTGGCATATCTAACAAACACCACAGAGGATTATGGAGTGAGAGGTCTCTGGCCCATGCTTTGAGAAAACTGAACCAAGGAGAAAAACTTCACCAACCAAGAGAGAAGGATACTTCTGGGGCTTAACCCTGCTTAAAAATGACCTTCATAATAAGCTGGCCCCCTTTTATAGCGCTTAAGGGGCAAATGGAGTCCCTGGGTGGTGCAAACAGTTAACGTGCTCATCTGCTAAGTGAACAGTTGGAGGTTTGAGTCCACTCACAGGTACCTCAAAAGAAAAATCAGCCACTGAAAACCCTACAGTGCACAATTTTACTATGATACACATGGGGTCACCATGGGTTAGAATTGGCTCAATGGGAACTGGTGTTTCTTTTAAGCAGTAAATATAAGCCCCAAGTATTATGCTCTTAAAAACAAGGCACCTAGACACCCCAGTCTGACATAAAACAGGAAAGGTGTAAACATAGCAGTTTCTATTTTTTCAGTTAATGCCAGTTCTCTGCTCCAAGATCTGGAAGAAATCTTTACTTTTCAACAGTAAGGCCATTCGTGACTCTAAAATAGCAAGCCCATGACACAGTTACTTTAAACCCACGTCTACAGTGACACTAGGGGTGGCCTTCCCGGTTCAAGATGTACATTCGCTCAATGGGAGCATCATTATGGTAGGACCTGTGGAGACTCAGGCTAGAAAGTTCCCTGCAGAAGGTGAGTCTGTTCACCGCAAGCTTTTGTGGTGGCCTTGGCTTCCACGCCCACCTGCCCAGATTCCTCTCTATGGTGCAATAGTACAGGGAGGTCCTGGAGTACTTCTTAAGTGGCTCAAGAGCCTCTCATTCCATATGCCTTGCCCCAGCCTAGAAGCCTTGTAAGAAGTGCAGTTCCACCCATCAGAAAACTGGCTGTGTAGGGTATCGTGGAAGAATAAGTTTCAAGCACTTACTTTCATCATTAGAAACATTCCCCAGAGATGTGTGGCTGGAATAACGTTTGTTTTCACTTTCGCTGAGACATCTTTCAATCCAGCTCTCTAAAAAAAAAGAAAAATCACAGAATCACTGCTGGTGTTTGCAAAGAGACGGGAACATTGTAAATGCATCAGACTTAAATGCTCATCAGCTCTCATCTGAGATGTGCCCAGACTGGAACTGGATTTTATATGAAGCTCCACGTGCACCACTGCTGATGAGACTTGGCAGAGTAGTTTGGAAGCAAAATGGTCATTGGAAGCCCCACATGAGTATTTCTTAGTCAAATTCCACTATTCCAGAGTATTCATAGTGAACTGCTACCGACTGAGGGTTCTCTTTGTTTGCAAAGAAGATATGTTCGTGAGAAGTAGTTTGTAAAACAACATTTGGTCAACTGAATCATAGTGGTGATTTTCAAACTTGTAAATTAGAAGCTGAAAACTTTCTTAAAACGAAAACAAAAAGAAAAGCAGATAAAACCATGGAGTCTCTAGATGAAGTGGAGAAGGGGGCAGGGAACCTTGCAGCTCCCCTCCCCCTCCCCAGTGACCCCCGAGGGGGGCTCTTTGAAGCACAGACCAAAAGTCACTCAAGGAAGAGAAATCAAAAGCGCTATAGTAAGCCATGTAGTGCTTTTAAAATCCAAAAGACTATGGTTTTTTAATCCAATTTAAAAGGCTACAAATGTTCTTCCCACCAAGTAGCACAGAGTTTATTCCATCTTCCAGACTATCCATTTATCCACTCATTCATTCATTCACTCACTCAACATTAGCTAAGTACAAGAATTCTGCTGTAACGTTTGCTTTGAAAACACCAATCTGCTCCAATGCAAGTGATGCATTAGAGAACAATTTGAGCATAGTGCCAACTTTGTGTTTGCGTATGCTCCGTCTCTTCCCTGAGAAACGAAGTACATGCAGAAAATCTTCACCTAGCTGAACTGAACCCTGTAGGAATATGCAAAACATATTCCTCAAACATCTACCAGCTATCTCAGTTCACTACCCAGATAACCCTCCTTCCACCACTTCACAATCACGCACAAGCTGCAGACCTTCGGACGCCCACTTCCACAAGCAAACTTCGGGTCTTTTCCAAGGTAATGCCATGTTTGTTGTATTTATGTATTTCTCAACCATTTAATGCGTGGAAAACCGTGTTATCGTTTTTATTAGGTTTCTACCTTTCTTAATGTTTCACTGACAAAGCTGTCGAGTGTTGTACCCTTAAATCCATTTTCCCAGTAAACCCTGCGGTTTTTATTGTGCAATTTTAAACACTACGGCAATTTTTAGGAATGCATACGTGGTGTTATAGCAGAACTGACGGTCACTATGACTACGTGCTTTTGAACAGTGCGGTCTCTGGTTGCCTTCTTTATAATATGGGAGCTAGCATTTATGGAAAGGAGCCCTGGTGGCGCAACGGTTAAGTGCTCAGCTGCTAACCTAAACGTTGCCAGCTGGAACCTACCCGGCGGCTCCTTGGGAGAAAGACCTGGGGATCTGCTCCCATAAATATTACAGCCTAGAAAACCCTATGGGGCCGTTCCACTCTGTCATGCTATGACTTGAAATTCACTCGGCAGCAACTAACTGCAACCACACTTACTGGACATCTGTTTGAACATTCCAGGCCCTTTATATACGTTACCCCCACCGAATCCTCACAAGGACTCTCTGAAGTAAGGATTGTAATCTCTATTTTTCCTAGAAAGCAACTGAGGCTTAGAGAGATTAAGTAATCCGATTCCTCATATTCAAAGAGCTAGCGGAAAGATCACTAGCTAACACCTTAGGTTATGGATTGTAAAAAGCAGCCGTGCTGACGAGTAAAAGAGGGCAAAAGCAAATGCAAACAGCAGGGATAAATGTTGGATTTTTTTTGTGTGTGTGTGCTTTAGGTGAAAGTTTACAGCTCAAGTTAATTTCTCATATAAAAATTTATACACATATTGTTATGTGACTCTAAGTTAAAAATATGGAACGCTCCACGAATTTGCGTGTCGTCCTTGCCAGGGGCCATGCTAATCTTCTCTGTATCGTTCAATTTTAGTGTATGTGTTTCCGAAGCCAGCACAGAAATGTTGGATTTTTGGTTGGTATTTTATGTCCTAACAAACTGCTCTTTTAAAACCTGTTTCCAAAATTGTAAATAAGTAGGAGGAAAATATCCAAGCAGAGGGCCAAGGGCCAAGTTGTTCAGAGGATACAGAAACCTGGTATCTTTGAGGAGCAGAGAAATTCAAAATGTGGAAATGCTTCCCCTTCCAGATATCAACTGCACAGTGTAGGAACAAAAGTCTTATGATATTTTCAAAGCTGCGATGACACAAGGTGGGTGTCTGTCATCACAACGCATCAAAAGCACATCCGGGTACAAATTTCCAGAATCCTTTCCAGGGCTCTCCAGGATGTCTCCCCTCTGCTCTCCTAACCCCTTCAAGTCCTAGCACATTTTCTCTGGCAACGCCATGGCTGAATTTTGGATACATCTACTCAGGATGGGAGCCCAGAGCCCCACCAAACCACACCACCAAAAGCAACGTCTACTGTTCTGGGCCAGCCTCTGGTCTTCGTAGATGGACAGACATACCTAGTTGCTCCCACACATGAATGCGCACACACACACACTCCCTGTCATCCGAAACAGGGAACTGAGAGAAACACTCTCTCCTGCTTTGCGTGTGCCAGGATCAGCTCTGCTGAAACTGGCGTCCTAGGGTCGCCTGCTGTTGCAGGTGACAATCCCCTGTGATTGGCAGGCACTCCCTCAAGAACTCACGTCCACATTCGGGAGAGGAGCTGGCTGTAAACACTGGGTGGGTCCAGAGGGTGCAACACCCGCTCAGAAGAATCAAGTCAAGAAAGAACTTTCCTGATGCCTGAGCCTCTCCTCCAGACTCCCCAACCCCAACACAGGAGAGAGACGAAACCAAGGTTACAAGAAGGGGGAGAAGGGCTGGAAGTGCCATGAAGAAAAAGAGAGAAGAAGGGATCTCACCAAGTAAGCTTGTCTCCCACCCACTGCACACACCAGCCTGTGTAGGCTGCAGCCAGAGACAGGAGTTGTGACTTCAAGCAAGTTCAAAGTTTAGATTATTATACGGGACTGAACAATTTAATTTCTGCATTGAGATATTTTATCTGAACGACTAGACAAGCCAAGGAATCGCTTGAGGTTTAATTCAGAGTCAAAGGTCTGCAGTCACAAATTAAAAGGGACAGTGAGATACAAAAGCGTAAAACTGCTTTATGAATACAAAATAAAAAGTCTGTTCTTTCTAATTGCTTAAATCCCACCTGCCGCATATGATGCATTCTGATCTTAACTGGGGGAATTGAGTTTGAATCAGGCCACCGGGTGTGTTTGGTTCTTTAGCACCAATTTACAGAATAAAACGTTCTGTTGGGAGCAGGACACACTTGCCATTATCAGGTACCTGAAAGGTTATTGCAGTCCTCAGGAGTCCCTGGATGGTGCAAATGGTTAACATGCTTGGCTGCTAACCAGAAGGTTGGAGGCTTGAGTCTACCCAGGGGCACCTTGGAAGAAAGGCCTGGCAATCTACTTCCCCAAAATCAGTCATTGAAAACCCTATGGAGCACAGTTCTATTCTGACACACCGGTAGCCTCCATGAGTCGGAGTCGACTCGACGACAACTGCTTAAGGATTCTTTAGAAGCTTAGAATTGGAAGAGATGGTTTACTCCACCTTGCCACGTATCGCCTCTAAAGTATCTGGAACAGACGGTGATCCTAGTATCTTCTGGAAATTGCTGGAGATTGTGAGTTCCCTCAGTTGTACAACTCTCAGTGTGAGAAAAGTTCTCCTTATTCTCTCTATAGATCCTGTGTTTAGCTAACATGTTTACTCATAGCCTGCTGTGCTTTATGCTATGAGATCTACATGCATTAGTTCACTTAATCTCAAAACAGTCTTAGGAGGTAGATATTATAATTATTATGCCTGCTTTACAGATGGGGAAACTGAGGCTCAGAGAGTTGACTGACTTGCCCTGCTAGTGACCTGCACAGCTAGTAAGTGGTGGTGTGTGTGACCTCAGGTCTCTCTGACCCCTAGGTTGATCCTTCAGCCACTCTTGTACATGGCAGATATGGGATGGCCATCATCATGGCTCCATTTTTCTGGACGAAGCACCCAATTGTTTCAGTTCTTTGATGGAAGAAATTGTTCCCACTTCTTTGCCATCTAGTTCACCTGTCTCTGATGGTCATCCAGTTAATTAATATCCGTTTGAACATATGGCATCCAGGATGAACTCTGAGGGTCCAGACGGGATCAGAGCCATGACGAGTATGTCAGAACCATCACTTCTGTTGTTCTGGACATTTGGAGTTCTTAATGCATTCAAGGGTCTTGCATTCCAGACTACCTGGCTGCGACACTCCGAAATATCCAAATATCCCCCAAATGCACTTTGACCTTTGTCTTCTCCCCTAGTGGAGCCCTCAGCAGTGGCATCTGCAGCTCGTGTCCCCTAAGTCAGGTTGCGTGCGGCATATGATTGGAAGGCCGATTTAGGTCACATGAAGTAAACTTTATGTATTTAAAAAATATGTATTTTTAACAATGGATTTTAGTCTTAATAGAGGTCAAGAATTACTTGACCAGAATTGCCATGTATGTTAAATTTTGAATAAAGCACTGTATTCATCTACCTTACTGATTTATGGATTATGTGATTTAATAATAATAGTAAAAACCCACTGCCGTCGATTCTGACTCATAGCAACCCTATAGGAAAGAGTAACATTTCACCAGAGGATTTCCAAGGAGCAGCTGGTGGATTCAAACTGCCAACCTTTTGGACAGTAGCTGAGCTCTTAACCATTTCGACACCCAGGCTCCAGAATAATAATAATAATAAAGGCTACCATATAAAGTCTTCCTTATTCATCGTCCAGCTTTCATATACATAGGAGGCGATTGAAAACACCATGGCTTGGGTGAGGCAGAACTTAGTCTTCAAGGTGACATCTTTACAGAGGTCTTTTGCAGCCGATTTGCCCAATGCATGCATCTTTTGATTTCTTGTCTGCTGCTTCCATGGATGTTTACTGTGGATTCAAGTAAAATGAAATCCTTGACAACTTCAATCTTTTCTCCATTTATCATGATGTTGCTTATTGGTCCAGTTGTCAGGGTTTTTGTTTGCTTCATGTTAAGGGGTAATCCATACCGAAGGCTGTAGACTTCGATCTCCATCAGTAAGTGCTTCAAGTCCTCTTCACTTTCAGCAAGCAAGGTTGTGTCATCTGCATAAGGCAGGTTGTTAATGAGTCTTCCACCAATCCTGATGCCATGTGCTTCATATACTCCAGCTTCTCGGATTATTTGCTCAGCACAGACTGAATAAGTACGGTGAAAGGATACAACCCTGACGCACACTTTTCTTGACTTTAAACCATGCAGTATCCCCT